AGAATACGCCTTCTGGAGTGGCCCAGTCAGAGTCCTGACCTCAACCCGATTAAAATGCTGTGGCATGACCTTAAGAGAGCGATTCACACCAGACATCCCAAGAATATTGCTACACTGAAACAGTTTTGTGAAGAGGAGTGGTCCAAAATTACTCCAGATCGTTGTGCAGGTCTGATCTGCAACTACAGGAAACGTTTGGTTGAGGTTATTGCTGCCAAAGGAGGGTCAACCAGTTATTAAGTCCGAAGGTTCACATACTTTTTCCTCCCTGCACTGTGAATGTTTACATGTTATGTGCAATTAAACCATGGCAACATCTAATGTTTGTGTAGTATTATGTTCAGCAGACTGTGTTCTTCTATTGTTGTGACTTAGATGACGTTCAGAGCACATTTTATGCCCAATTCATGCAAAACTCCACGTAATCCCAAGGGGTTCACATACTTTTTCTTGCAACTGTATATATCTATATATATATATATATTACAAAACATATGAAAAATATTTTTAATAATACATTTAAGATATACTGTGTCTTTAAAAATACAAATCAAAATTTGTGGAAAGCATTTACATATATATATATATATATGTAAAAATATATGTTAAAATGACTTTTTTTATATGTTAAAAAAAATCTGAAGAATATATTTAAAAAAAATATTTTCATATATTTTTGTAATATATAAAAAAATGCATTTTAACTTGCAGTATATATATATATATATATATATATATATATATATATATATATATATATATTTATTGAAATATATTTTGAAATACTGGTATATTGAATATGGCCAAAATTGTAGTATTTCAAATGTATCTTCTATATGGGGAGTTACCTCCGTAAGTTTTATTATCTGTTGATTTTGCCTGTAGATCTGTTATTTTTACACTTTCTTAAACAGGACAACAATACTCTTTGTTTTGCAGTGGAATCACACAACAAACTTGTCAGCATGTTGAAGGGGTAGGCCTAGAGGGACATGAAGTGTAAATAGACTTTAAATGTAAACCCTGAACAATAAACAGCAATTAACTTCTCTTGTTTTCTCCTTTTTGGTTTACTAAAAATACCATTTAAAACCATTTTGTTATATCTGTTTGATAAATGCAAAAAAAATACCCATTGATCCTGCCAGTGAGCTCATAACTTCCTTTGCAAATGTCAACCAGTGTTATCAGCCCTACCCAGTTTACTTCAGCAAAGTACAGAACATCTACCCCCATGTTATGGGGATGAGGAGAGGGGGTGTATTCTATAATCCAAATCATCCTAGGGTGACCATGTTTCTCTTCCATACATACAGCCACAACATCTAAGGACTGGTAAACTGCAATATAATACAGTTTTGCTCTTGAGTTTATATGCTTTTTAAGTATTCAATAAACAAATTGAATTACATTTTTTTTTCTTTTAGAAAAAAGTTTTAAAGTGTTACTAAACAGAGAAAAAAAGGAGCCTCTAAGTGTAGACTTAAAAGACAGGTTTATTGCACACATGTAGAGCGACTTACAGGAAAGTGGGATCCCATCTTCTTCTACGGTGCTCTACATTGTGTGCAATAAACCTGTCTTTTAGCCCTCATGCACACTTAATGTTTTGATAACGCTGGTAACATTAGCTGTGTAGAGTCAAGTTAAATACGTGAGGTTTTCAGCTCTTTTTAGCATTTTTGCATTAGCGCTTAGCTGTGTTTTGCCACGATTAGTGCCGTTTTCACACATTTGCGGTTTTTAGGGGTTTTTTTTACCAAAAAAAAAAAATGTTGGGGTAAAAAAAAGTCCAAAAACACCGGTTTGCGGTGTTTTACCACCTTTTGCCGTGTTTTTCAGCATTATAGCGTTTTCACAGTTAAAACACTCCTCTAGAAACCCACTGGACACATAGGATAACATGCTGGGGGGTTTATTGACTGTAGAAAAAAACACCAAAAACAGCCGCTGTAAAAACATTAAGTGGGCATGAGGGCTTAAGGCGGAGCTCCACCCAAAAGGGGAAGTTCCACTTTATGGACTGCTTCCCCGCTCCCCATTAAGGATTGAAACCCTTGGGTGGCGGGGGGGAGCGGAAACAGAAGGTGTCCTCCCTCCGTTTATAGAAATATAAAATATTATAGATCTTCTTTAACTGGAACTCCTCTCCACTTATTTCACAGACCAAACTCCCCTGCCCTGCAATGAAAATGAGTAACAGTTCATGAGTACCCTCTGGGTAGAGAAAGTGCTCTGTTTATGTGAATGAAAATGAGTCTATCTGAGCACCTAGACATTCTAAGAAAGAGCAATAACTGCCATTTATTATGAACGGTGTCTCTACTATACTGAAAATGTTAGGGCCCGTTTACATATGCAGGATTGTTTTCTATGTGCCCCACTCTCACATCACACCACCAGTGTTTTCACATCACACCAGAATTGTTTTCTATGTGCTCCGCTCTCACATCACACCACAAGTGTTTTCACATCACACCAGCATTGTTTTCTATGTGCTCTGATCTCACATCACACCACAAGTGTTTTCACATCACACCAGCATTGTTTTCTATGTTCTCAGTTCACCAGTGTGAAAACAATTATTTCCTATGTGCCCTTGTGGTTATTGGCATTGATCTGGTGAGGAAAAACACTAGTCACTGCACATAGTGTGAAGGGGCCCTCACTGTTTGTTAAATGGAATGACTGTTATGTTTATTCTCTCTGGAGTAAAGTTTAGGTTTCATTTAGTCAAACCTGACCGGACATTATTCTGATTTGGGCTGGTGAAATGAATAGAAAGAAAGATGCTTGGCATTGAAGCAGCAGCTGCAGCACGGGCTGATATGCATGGTGTTTACTCTGTCCTAAGAAAAGGTAAAGTCAGTGATGAATTCTACACTTATCGGCTCTGCCTGGGTTATTTGGGGCTAAGGGGTCTATGAATGGTTTTAGGAGAATACCAGAGAAAGCCAACCTATGGACTGCGGAGGCTTGTCCTTGGGGAAGACAAAATAGTTACTAAGGAAGGAATTTTTTTCCCTACAGGAGCAAATTGGATCGTGCTTTGCTAGTTTTTTTTTGCCTTTCCTCTGGATCAACTGTGGGTATAGGATTATAACTTTTTTTTTTTAATGGCTGAACTGGATGGACTTTTGTCTTTATTCAGCCAGACTAAATATGTAACTAAACTCTAGATACAACTCATTTCCTTTGTCCCCTGCCACCCATAACGAATCACTGACTTAGAAATTAAAAACACACCTAAAATTACCATTTATATACCTAAATTAGTGGTAATAAGACACTCTCTTGTTGATTTAGTAATTTTCTATTACCTGTCCTTATTTTAGACACATACTCACTTCCTATTAATGGTCCTCTCAGGGTACAGCAGTTAGACATCCCGAATCACTAAATACCTGATCTTCACATCTGGAACAAGGTTGAATCACTAAATACCTGGTCTTCACATCTGGAACAAGGTTGAATCACTAAATATCTGATCTTCACATCTGGACCCCCCCAAACCCCAAACACACAACACACACACACACACACACACGTAAGTTGTATGTCCAACAGTTCATTGCCAGTAATCCTACTTTCTTTCATGCTGGACCATTTGAGTGGATCACTTTTTCCAAATTTAAACATACCCTGGTCTGTTTATTGACCACATTCTGCCTGCCACTTGGACACAAAGAGGGCAAGTGTAAGAATTTATGTTGGTTTGAAGTCTGCTTTGTCTACATACTGACCTCATTCCTGCTTGTTGTCTGAACTGGCCCTGGCCTGTTAATCGACAATATTTCTGTCTGCTGCCTAGACTGATCATTTGCCTGTTTGCTGACCATGGCTCTGAAGAAGGAGCTCACGCTCTGCAACGCGTTGCCATCTTTGATTGTCAGTTCCGCTGTTGACATCACTTCTGCCCCTCATGCTGCGGTCTTCACCAACCAGGTAGCCCTGGGAGCCTCCAGAACCACCTGGATGCCGGTTCACAGCCTCCATCCATTTGCGGCCCGGGACCGACACTGATGACCATCCCCACTACTACTCATGCCTGAGACCACTTTCCTTTTGTTAGTGTTACTTTTGCTCTTTGTTCATTAAATGGTTTTGCAGTACTACACCCAGATGGCGCTTGGTTTTTTCCTCCACTAACCATGGCTCTGCCTGACTCTTGAACTGACCCATTTGCATGCCTCATGACTATGTTCCTGCGTAACACCAGTCGCAGTCATTCTCTAGGAACAACTGCACTCCTGAAACCACAGGTTCACTCTTCTCTTTTTTCAGCCTCCTGTACTTCCTGGTCAGGGAACATAACATTGTTTAAAAATTTGGAGAGCCGTCAAATTGACTTATAGGAACAGGGACTGATATAGGTGAAGCTACTCTAAGCTATATTCTGTGACCACTCATACAGAGGGGAGCATTACAGTACGCTGTTTTAGATACAATGTTTGAAAAAGTCTCACACATGCATTATACCCATACGTGGGAGAAACAATGGGATGAGTTTTATGGTGTAGTATGCCTATACTCTGTTTTAGAAATATGCTATTAAATGAAAACTTTGGAAAAAAATACATTGTCACTTTCTTGCTGCATTTTCTAAAAACTTGTGGCAAAAAGTTAAATTTTCAAAAGACTCACTATGTCTCTTAGAAAATAGCTTGAGGTGTTTGCTTTTCCAAAATGTCATCATTTTATAACTTTTTGTGTGCCCCTTGAAAACCTGAAGGCGCTCCTTGAATTAAGGGCCCCTTTATGTGGCTATGCTGTGCACAAAATCTGACATTTGATATCCCCATACGCAGGAGTAGCAGAATGTGCTATGGGTGTTGTTAGCAAGACTGCCTATGCTGTGTGTGAGGAATAATTTGTTAAAATGGCAATTGTGAAAAAATATCTAATTTTTTTATTTAGTTTCTTCATTTTTCCAAAAATGTGTGGCAAAAGGCTCAACAGCTTAAAAAAACTCACCATGCCTCTTAAATACCTTGGAGTATTACACCTCAGGTACTAAAGACTTCTTACTCTGGCATCATCTCTGTGCAATAGGTTGTGATCAGGGGCAGACTGACCATTTGGAAACTCGGGCACTGCCCGAGGGCCTGGGGTCAGTAGGGGGCCCCAAGAGATGCCCCTGGTACCTTATTCATAGGCTTTTTTGAGTTTGGGCAAGGACACAGGGGCCCCATGATCCCCTATTGCCCAGGGGCCCCATGAGTTATCAGTCCGCCCCTGGTTGTGATTGACAGTACTTTTTGTATGATTTGGATATTTTACTTTGTGTTTCACCCATTGTATCATGACCATTAATATGCTTATGCCATCCCAGTACCTAATTAAATTGTACATATTTATAACAAAGAAAAAGGGGATTACTTGGAGGATGTCTGTATTGTACTGGAATTTTAGGGTCTCAAGAAATAAGGTAGACAGCTAGAATGTCAGGGTTCATAAATTTTAGATATACAGTATATATAATAGTTTGTAGACTCTATACCTTTCCCATAGTCTAAATCAGTGTTTCTCAACCAGGGCCCTATGGTTTCTTCTGAGGTCGTTATGGGTTCCTTCAGGAATGCACAATTTCTGCATCTCAAAAATGTTCTCATTGATAACACTGTTCTTTTTAGCTATCTGTAAGGGTGTAATTCTTCCCAATGACTGGAAACTTAAGGAACATATTTCTCACTGACCATCACATTAATTAATCATAAGCTGTAGATACAATAATTTTTAGCAGGGGTTCCCTGAGATCGTAAAGTTATTTCAAGGGTTCCTCTGTGCTGAAAGGATTGAGAAAGGCTGGTCTAAATGATATAAATATATTTGTTTTTTTTAACCAAAGAAATGTAGCAGAATATATTTTAGCCTAAATTTATGAAGAACTATTATGTATATTTGCTAAGGGAAAAGAGAAATTGGAGATTTGGAGGAGGAGAGCTGAGCGCAATAGAAGATACTTTGAATAAAGAAAATATGCTTGAATAAATGTATTGGTTTATTAATTTTCAACCAAACATTTGTGTCACTTTAAGGATAATGACATCTTAACCACTTTTGCTCCGGAGGATTTACCCCCCTTCCTGACCAGGCCATTTTTTGCGTTACAGCGCTGCTTCACTTTCACTGATAATTGAGTGGTCATGCAATGCTGCACCAAAATAACATTTCCTTACTTTTTTTTCCCATAAATTGAGCTTTCTTTCGGTGGTATTTGATCATCTGTGTTTTTTTTTTTTGCGCTATAAAAAAAAAAAGATGACAATTTTGAGAAAAAAGAATTTTTTTACTTTTTGCTAATAAACATATCCAGTAAAAAAAAAGTGAGGAAAATACTGTCGATAACCAGCAACTGTCACAGAACAGATTGGCACTGATCATCGCGGCACTGATGATCAGTGCCCAGCAGTGCCACCCACCAGTGCCTGGCAGTACCTCCCATCAGTGCCCAGCAGTGCCACCCATCAGTGCCCAGCATTGCCACCCATCAGTGCTGCCCAGCAGTGCCACCCATCAGTGCCCAGCAGTGCCACCCATCAGTGCCCAGCAGTGCCACCCATCAGTGCTGCCCAGCAGCGCCGCCCTGCAGTTAAGCCATTCAGTGCCGCCCCAGTGCCATCAGTCAGTGCCATCAGTCAGTGCCACCAGTCAGCTCCTCCAGTCAGTGTAATCGGTGCCGCCTATCAGTGCCCATCAGTGCTGCCTATCAGTTCCCATCAGCACCTCCTATCAGTGTCCATCATTGCTGCATATCAATGCAGCTTAATCAGTGCCTCCTCATCAATGCCCACCAGTGCTGCCTCATCAGTGCCAGCTCATCAGTGCTGCCTATCCATGCCACCTCATTAGTTCCCATCAGTCCTGCCTATCAGTGCCCATCAGTGCAGCCACATCTACGCACATCAGTGAAGGAGAAAACCTGTTTGCAAAATTTTACAATAGAAACAAAGAACAACTTTTTTAAGAAAATGTTTTGCTCTTTTTTTGTTTATGAAATAGAAAAAGACTTCAAGTAAGCTTTTAAAATACTTGATTTTTGTGTATGTTCACCTGCATTTTTGAGTTCAGGATAGTGTCTCTGTAACAATATATAAAATGGATAAAAACAACATTTGTATAAAAGAAAGGATCAAAATATACACTGTCTTTTTGCCCAATCTGAACTTCAATAGCCAACCCCCTAACAAGTCAAATTCATCTTTCCATGCTTCCTTTCTGACTCTGTTGAAGCCTTCGCTTCACTGCTCTAATGGAATGGGGCTTTCAGGTATGGGGGATCCAATTACTCAGGATTGACTCTTGCAGCATGCTGAGAGTAAGGGAGCATGGAGCATCTATGAGTTCGTATACCTTGCTGGGAGGCAGACTATCAGGAGGCACTGCCACTCCGTCTTGAATAAGCAGGCAATTTCTCATTAATGTAGTTACTAACTATAAGGGTTTTTCCATTATTGACCTTAATTTTTAAAGAAGTATCCCCAAAGCTTAAAAGTAACTTGAATTCCCAGAGGTAAAATGCATGTAGCACAGCGGCCCTAATGCATGTAGTACATGACTGATCACTGTTGTTGACGTGAAATAAAAGAACATTTAGATTTTTAGATATGTTGGCTGTAGCCAGGGGCGTATCTGCCTTGAGGCAAAGAAGGCGTTTGCCTTAGGCGGCATTTTTCAGCGGGGTGGCGCCACCCCGTCCCCAGGCAGAAGGTACCAGTGGCATTGCTATAGGACTATTTCCTCCCCCCCCCCCCCCGCTGACACCAATGATGGGTAACTATTCCTCCTCCCACTGACACCAATGATGTGGCACTGTTCCTCCCCCCACTGACACCAACGATGGGGCACAATCTCCCCCCACTGACACCAATGATGGGGCACTATTCCTCCCACACTGACACCAATGATGGGGCACTATTCCTCCCACTGACACCAACAATGTGGCACTATTCCTCCCACCGATACCAATGATGGGACACTATTCCTCCAACTGATACCAACGATGGGACACTATTCCTCCCACTGACATCAGTGATGAGGCACTATTCCTCCCACTGCAAAATTACAGTTACAGTAGCAATGAAAATATGGTTGGGGGTCACCACAACATGAGGAACTGTATTAAAGGGTCGCAGCATTAGGAAGGTTGAGAACCACTGCTATAGAGAGTGTCTCATTTGCCTTATATCTTCACATGTAAAACTGTTCCTCTTATCTGGATATGCTGAGCCTTTGGAGAGTTTGGTTTGTTGGGTGTGCATCACTCGATATACGTTTGGGATATAGAAAAAAATCAGAGGAGTTCTGGGCTGTTGATTTTAATCATTTCCATACCGGGCACTTTTACCCCCTTCCCTCCCAGGCTATTTTTCAGGTCTCAGCGCTCTCACACTTTAAATGATAATTGCGCGATCATACAACACTGTACCCAAACTAAAATTTTATAATTTTCTTCACACAACTAGAGCTTTCTTTTGGTGGTATTTATTCATCACTGAGTTTTTTATTTTTTGCTAAATTAACAAAAAAAGACAGAAAATTTGTAAAACAAAAACACGTTTTTCTTTGTTTCTGTTATAAAAGTTTGCAAATTTAGGCCGAGATGTATTCTGCTACATGTCTTTGGTGAAAATAACCCAAATTAGGATGTATTTTTTAGTTTGTAGGAAAGTTATAGAGTTCACAAACTATGGTATAGATCTGAATATTGATCAATCCTGAAGTACTGACAGCCAATCTACTTTCTTGAGGGCCAAGAATGTCAGAACAGTACAGATATCCCCCCAAGTTACCCCTTTTTGCAAAGTAGACAGTCTGACGTACTTCATAAGAGGCATGGTGAGTTTTTTGAAGTTGTATTTTTTTTTCGTCATAATTTTTCGGAAAATTAAAAAATTAAACAAATTATTTTCAAAATTTTTTTACATACTGTCACCAGTGCAGTACAGCATCATCATATAACTGGCATGGCGGTGATCAGGGACACTGACTGGTGACAGTATGAAAAAAAAAATATTTTTTTTTACTTTTTTTTATTATTTTTAATTTTTTATTACATTTTTTCTTTTTTTTAAGATTTTTTTTTTCATATTTCACTTTGACCAAAGTAGTACAATGTTACCATAGTAACATTGTACTACTTTGGGGAAGTGATCAGTATATATTTTTTTTTTTTTTTTACACAATTTGCTTATAGCAAAGAATTACTTTGCTATAAGCAAGCAGTTACCTGAATGACATCGATTCATTCAGCTTTTTTTTTTGTGCTTAGCTGTGATTTGGCCATGGCTAATCACATGACACAGCTGGGCTGTGATTAGCCCAGCTTGTGCATGTGATCGCTGTGACCATTCACAGCTAGGCACACTAGTATACAATGGATGGCATGAATGAAGCCATCCATTGTATACAACTGTCGTGTGACCTGCTGTGATTGGTCACAGCAGGTCACATGGTACCGGCAATGGGGCCGGTACTCAGATCTCTAATCGGTCGTGTCCGAGGTACGCGGCCGGTGACAGATCGCGCTGCTGCGCGGCTCTGCAGGCGCGCAAACTGCGCATGCCTGGGAGGACGCTATATGGCGTCCACCCGGAACGCTGAAGGATTTTGCCAGCTGCCAAATGGCCATTGGCCGGGTGGCTAATGGTTAACTGAAGAAGCTTAGACATTATATGCCAAATCCTGAGAAAACTAACATGCTTGTTTTCCCTCTATATGACACTTGTCCTGGAGCCCCTCACAATGTATGGGTGAGACACCTAGGTAACACTTATACTATTTTATAATCCTGTGACTCACCTGAAAAACTGCACTCCATTGGCATTTTCCACTGTGACATGATATATAGATACATCCTAAAGCACAACTAACTCACCAATTTAACTGTAACCCAAAATAGTTACATTCAAGTCATGATAACTGTCATAGTTTCCAGTGTGCTTATGTCAGTCCCCAAACAAACTTTCAAACCCCCAAATGTTTGGTCTCATTGCTGATCACATATGCTGTACCATGGTAACTGTAGATCTAAACGGAGGCTAAGATGGCGGCTGTCTTTGGCTGTAAAAGATAGAAGAGTTTATTCCTGATTTAATAATTTGTTCAACAGCTCACAGTTCAACTGCAATTTTAATGGGCTCTCCTGCCTTCCTAAAGGCCTATCCTGTAGCTGCACCCAACAACAACACATCAACTTACAGACAGTCACAATCCAAAAACTAACAAACGAAACCAGC